TAAACATACGACGAGACAGACACGTCCTGCACTTTAGAGTCCAGTATAGTGTAAGAGACTTTAGCGTTTTCACCAAAATCCAGGTCAGAGGCTGATACTGAGTACAGTATAGATCCTGGTACCCCATTCTCCTTTAAATACACATTATAGGAGGGCTGAGAGAATACAGGAGGGTTGTCATTCACATCAGTGATACTGACTGGTATAATTTTCTTACTGGACAGAGGAGGAGAGCCTGAATCAGTGGCTGTTATTTCAATATTATATTCGGAGACATTTTCTCGATCTAAAACACCTCTGGTAACCAGCGCGTAATTTTGTGAAAAAGATGGTTTGAGTGAAAACTGACATTTCTTGGGGAGCTGTAATATTACTTTACCGTTATCACCGGAGTCCAGATCTCGGGCACTGATTAAAGCTACTACGGTGCCATCAGGAGAGTCTTCACGGACTGGTTTTGGATGAGAGGTTAGTATTATTTCTGGGGCGTTATCGTTTACATCTAAAACCTCAACATGGATAATGCAGTGACCCTCCATTCTCGGAATGCCTTTGTCTTTCGCACTTATGTCTATTTCATAATTTGCAGCTGATTCGAAATCTAAATTTCCTTTTAGAAATACTGTTCCCGATATGTGATCAATACTGAAAACAGAGAGAACAGCATCTGATGTGTGCGCTCCAAAAGAATACTCTATTTCTCCGTTTTGACCATCATCCATATCTGAGGCTTTTGTTTGTACAATTATTGCACCTTCCGCAGCATTTTCATTGATAGATACTTTATACAGGGGTTTATCAAAAGCTGGAACATTATCGTTGTTGTCAAGGACCTTAATCGTTACTTGAGAGGTGCCTGATCTCAGTGGGTTGCCCCCATCTAGAGCTGTCAACAAAAGCTTATGAACAGCCTTTTTCTCTCTGTCTAAAAGTTTTGCTAAAATCAATTCAGGGACTTTTCTTCCACCGGCAACTTCTTTAACTCTAATACTAAAACACTCGTCTTTACTGAGAGTGTATGACTTCAGTGAATTACTGCCGACGTCTGGGTCGATAGCGCTTTCCAGAGGGAATCGAACCCCTACCACTGTAGATTCCGCAATTTCCAATGTGACGTCATTTGATGGGAATCTCGGCGAATTGTCATTAATGTCTTGTATTTCAACCTCGACACGAAACAGTTGTAATGGGTCTTCAATTACAACTTGCAGAGGCAACACACAGCTGGCGCTTTGTCCACATAAAGCCTCTCTGTCTATTCTGTCATTCACCACCAGCTCGCCCTTCCCCGCATCCACAGTGAAATACTGCTTACCAGCCTCAGAGGCGACTCGCAGTTTGCGATCAAAAATCTCAGACAGCCCCAAACCGAGATCTTTGGCTAGATTTCCTACCACAGAGCCCTGTTTTAGTTCCTCCGGGATGCTGTAACGAGTCTGTGCATCTGTTATACTCCACAAGAGAAAGAAATGATGCCACCAAAGCGCCTGCCATCTCCAGTCTCGATATCCCATTGTCTTTGTCATCCTCGCTCCGTTATAACACACTTATTCCAAACGAGATATTCTTTATAACGATGCTGGAATCCAACAGAGTAGGAAATACTCCCAAAGAAAAATGACCACGTCGTCTGATCATGGCTGAAAGCTGAAATTCATATGTTTAAATCTTTAAAAAAAAAAAACGCGAGCTCATTGCTGTCTCTCCCCGAGCTGGTTGCATTGTAAGTGATAAAGCGCCGAGGCTGCATGGGGGCAGGGACTAGATTGCTTTGTACAGTTCTGATTCCTATTGGTGCACAGCCTCCCTTTGCATCATCCAACGAGAGCGAGACTGATCGACACTCTGGTAGAGGCAGCTTCAATCTGATTCTGAGCTCTCATGGATGATTGTAAGAAAAACGTGTAAATGCCAAACAATATGGAACCAAAATATTATTAATAATTACAAGAAATCTGCCTCCAACCATCTCAAAGCAACGGATGAAAATGTGAAAGCACAACAGTAATGTAGTTTCAATACACACTAAGTAAATCCACTTCATCACTGAGTCGCTGTCCACTGTGGTGGTGCTGAAATATTCAAATGTGCATGTGTAACACAACTTCGTTTCATTCCTTAAACACTGCTGTTTCCAACATTTCAGCATACGTTTAATGCAGGCTACCTGGCTTTGTAATCATTTTTTATGATAAACAATTCGAAAAAGATGTGATGGAAATAATATACAGCCAGGATGGATGGACATAGGCATAACGATCTGTTTCAAATGATTCACTTCCACACAATACACATTTTGACAAAGTATTTCTTTTGCTAAGTAAAAAAAAGCCAAAGCATTTAATTTCCACTATTAGAATGAAATGCTGTCATCTGCTCACCTGCTGGCTCTCAAAGGTCCAGGTGCTGTCCGGTAAAGACGCATCGAGGACACTGATCACCTCCTTAAAGTCAGTGGTGCTGCTGGGCTTAATCAAAGTGAAATCACTGTACTCTGACATTGGAGACATACAGGACCTGAAGGACTGACTCTGAGACAACATGTCTCCTCCCAGGACCTCCACGTACTTTATGGGTCCATCAGTGTTGAGCTGAATCTGCAGGTTTCTGTTGGGGTTCTTGTAATCATCACAGTC